TTCCAGATCTCTTACAAAATACTGGTCTATGAAGTCTACATTAATAATAATAAATATTTTTTTTGAGAAAGTGTGCAGAGCTCTTAGAAAATAAAGTGGTTACTGTGCCCGATTTGCAGTACATACGACAGGTTTTGCGTAGCTAAATGTCAATAATCAAGTATCTGCGCAGCTCGCCTGGCTGTTTGCAACCAATCGATGCCTTTCGTGCTGGGTAGAAATGTTAACATCACGTCCAATCCCGAGGGCGAGAGACGGTCTGATCGTGCGACAGATCCAGTCAGTGTCGCAGGTCGGCAGGTATTGCCCAATCAAGGCGCGAGTTAATTGCGTCCGCTTTTTGGCCATATTTGTAATTTAGGCATAGTGAAGTCAAGTCAGAAAGGTAGGCGCGGTCGGTAGGATGGGAGGAAACTGTATTAGCCGGGCCGGATGTAGCCATGCGAAAAGGCAGGTCAAAGCAGGAAGACAGGGAGTGCGACGGACGGACAGACAGACCGACAGGTTACAAGGTTAGGGAGCGGGAAACTAGCGGTCTGGGCGTCTGCTCCGCGGACGCTAGGGCATGGTTGGTTGGTGTAGAGAGGGCCGACCACCTCCGCTGCGCTGCGATGGGCTTAGAATTTCTACTCAAAGCGAAGCAACATATAGTACATGTATACTGTGATCTACGTATATTACGTTCCAAAACAACACCGCACACAGTATCCTTAGTGCTCACATGTTATGGTAGACACGATCAGGGTTTAACGTGATCTGCAAGCAGAGCACCATCTTACCCGGGAAGGTTTTGTCTATAATCTCGTTTGAGCGCATTGCTCCTAAAATGACACGAATCGAAGGCGCGCGTGGTTGCAAAGCTAATATATGCTGTACGGAAGACGGGTCAGTATCAATGATGCTACGAAATATGCGTAGATCGGTGAGGAATCCCAGTGTAGCTAGAGTAAATACGCCTACTTACACATTTTACTCATCTGCACGTCATCGCCGTGAGGCAGTCGACACATATCATCTATTGCGACGGTCGAATAGAGCAATGTTAATCAGCTCCGCGCGCGAAGTATCTTTTAGGATAGGTAGTATTTCCCGATGGTCGCCACAAACATCAATATTATGCTTTGAAATTATTCTGCTGAGCTGTTTGTGATGTTACTGAAGGGTATTTCCACTATCTTCCGCATGCATTTATCTTACTTGTATAGCTGACGTGCTTTCTGACTTATTTGTATAGCTACTGACTGACAGAGTGACGTAAATCCTTTCCGACTGACATTATACTGGGTCGGATATGTACGACAAAAGGCCTCGTCCAGATCGGACGAAGAGGCACCACTGCGTGCACATTCTTTTTACGGGCTGCAACATACGAAGATATATGGCTGTAGGCAGCGTATCAGATCGTAGTGATGGTTAGACTCAATTTGAAAAGTAGCTCATGTACATTAGATGGAGTACTTTCGCTGCCTACTTATCCGCTCGGCGTGCTATTTGATGTGTCCGTGCATATATCGCGAGGTCGTTAATGAGTGTATTTGCCACGCGCTCGTGATACCCAACCTATGCATGGGGTCCTGTTTCCTTATCGGGACGTTTGCGTCGTCGTGCTAGCTTTCTGTGCTTACGCTTTGATGTTTAGTCTGTATGATCAAGCGCGTCACTAACTGGGCACAGGCTATTCCGCAGCGATACAGGTATGCTGAACGCGCGTCTGTTAGCAGTAGCCAACGCGATATATACGGGCGAGGCGGGCACACCTTATAGTCATCCGCGAATCAACCGAGCTTTCATCTCGGCCGTTATGAACAGGACACTAAAGTACAATATTGCATTCAGACACATCGACTTGCCACGTCCATCTGTACGGTCTGCACTGTCACGCAGGGGTAGTATCTATGTAAATAGCAGCTTATTCGTCGCACGTAGTTCCCACTCAATACTGTGGTTTAATTGTGAGCGCCAATTAGTGCAATATACGCTATAAGAGCTGATGATACAGATAACATGGTTTTGCGTGTGCCTACGTGAGCGAGTGTACGTGCCATCTACGGTGACGCGTATGCAGATAGGGACGGTCAGCTTGCGGCTGTCCACAGTAGATACCATGTGCTAAATATTTTTTGAAACGCGCTACTCGATTTAGGTGTGTCAACACAACTGACTGCGCCATAGGCAGATTACCGTATGTGCGGCTCCAAACCTCGCACTGTAGCCGATATACTAAATACAAAGATAGGTAGAAACATGGAGGCCATAAAGGGTATATTTACCAATTACTTGCTCTTCTGCTGCTTCTTTTGCTCAATGTACTTGGCGTTTCGGGCGGTCAGCTTGCGAGGGCGGCTGCGCCTCGTTTTCTTCTTGGGGTACCAGTCAGGACCCATCGCTTTCTTGACGCTTCCCAGGCTTTCCTGGCGGCGCACTTCGGCCGAATCAGGTGGTGGGGGCTTTTCCTCCCAGAACTCAACCGCTTTTGGGCCGTTCTCGCAGGCAATACAGCGCCGCACGATGTCCCGCCCGCTGATTGTATGGAATGCGTAGCCGTACTGCAGCTTTCCGCAGCAGACGCAGCGCGCCCGGGAATTCGTCGTAGACCGCTGCAGGTTCAGCAGAAGCGGGTCAATATATGCCTTGCACGTGGTCCTGCAAATTGTGAGTAAGCTAACAAATTTAATTTGTTTTTACCAATTACGTGCGTCAAAATATTAGCCAATAGCCCGGTAATATAAGGCTGGTATTTATTATTAGGCAAAATATTAAAATGTTTTATAATATTACTTTCGTTTTGCTATATCAATAATAATATCAAACAAATACATTCATTACATGCAATATAAATTGACAAAAACAATTATCTATCGTGCGCGCATGCATTCGTCGGGTGGGGTGCACGGGAGCAGATAGCGCAATGACCGTGCAGCCGCGCGCTTTCATTGCACGGTGGCAGTGGTGAGTGCCAGGTGAAGTAAAGAAGATATATATTCGCAAAGTCCCTACAAAAAGCGCTGGTCGTGAAGCCTACTTTAATATTAAAAAATACTATCGTCTCTACTTTAGAAAGTCTGTGGAAAATAGCATCACAGAGCTCTTACAAATGCGGCCTGTTAAGCTTATATTAGTAATATTAATACTATTAATATCGTCTTTACTTTGAAAAGTGTGTGGAAAATAACATCCCTGAGCATTTACAAAATACTGGTCTGTGAAGTCTACATTAATAATATTAAAAATCTCTATTTTAGAAGGGTGCGGAGATCTTAGAAAATAAAGTGGTTGCTGTGCCCGATTTGCAGTACATACGACAGGTTTTGCGTAGCTAAATGTCAATAATCAAGTATCTGCGCAGCTCGCCTGGCTGTTTGCAACCAATCGATGCCTTTCGTGCTGGGTAGAAATGTTAACATCACGTCCAATCCTGAGGGCGAGAGACAGTCTGATCGTGCGACAGATCCAGTCAGTGTCGCAGGTCGGCAGGTATTGCCCAATCAGGGCGCGAGTTAATTGTGTCACGCTTTTGGATATATTTGTAATTTTGGCATAGTTAGGTCGAGTCAGAAAGGTAGGCGCGGTCGGTAAGATGGGACGAAACTGTATTAGCCAGGCCGACTGTAGCCAGGCGAAAGGGTAGGAAAAAGCAGAAAGAGAGGAAAGCGACGGACTGATTGACAGACGGGGACAGACACGCTGCAAGTTTAGGTGGCGGGAAATACTTTGCTTTCAATCAATCATCTGCGCAGCTCGCCTGGCTGTTTGCAACCAATCGCTGTGTTTCGTTCTCGACAGAAATGTTTACCTTACGTCTTATCGCGAGGGAGAGAGGCGGTCTGATCGTGCGACAGATCCAGTCAGTGTCGCAGGTCAGCAGGTATTGACCAATCAGGGCGCGTGTTAATTGTGTGACGCTTTTGGATATATTTGTAATTTTGGCATAGTTAGGTCGAGTCAGAAAGATAGGCGCGGTCGGTACGATGGGAAGAAACTGTATTAGCCAGGACGGACGGACATATAGACAGACCGACAGGCTACAGTACAAGGTTAGAAGCGGGGAGATACTTTGCTTTCCTCGATTTTCTTACTCACTTCGATTTTCCCCTCCTGGTACCGAGCAACCCATCATATCGATGCGCGTGCTGTGTTTGGCGCTGATGGCGACGGCCACTGTTCTAGTACAGAGTCCTGCGTCCGGTTTGACCACGACTGTGGCTGACACGGCCCAGACGGCAACCAGCATTCTAACTCCTGTTCTAGCTGGGGAGCCGAACAAACACGTTGCAACGCGATCTTTGAGAACGCATCCGATAGACGACAGCGACGATGGCGAAGAGCGACTGCTTAATGGTATGACAGATTTTTTCAAGTACCACGCTGGAAAGATGAGTCCCGAGCAGCTTTACAAGTACTTAAACTTAAAAGGACTTGGTCAAGAAGCCTACAAACACAAGAACTACGCTAGTTACATTAAGAAGTCGAAGAAGTGGTGGAAGAACCAGTAAGACCGTAGTTTCAAGAGTTTTGAAGGATGGTTTATCAATTGAGCTGAAGCTATTGAAGACGCTAAGAAAAAATGCTAACGCTGGCTTAGTTCGGTTCGTTTTGTCACTGGACTTCAGTGCATTCCTCGTGTGCTTGGGGTTTTGCTTTTGTTTGTGGGGATGTAGATTTCTTGAGTGTTAAAAAAGAATTACAATTTTTAGTACAAGTACTACAGTAGTAAGCTGCACGAATATCCCTCCGTCCGCGAAGCACACTCTCCACAAGCTCCTGTTTAAATTTGCTCCAATGTGTATCTCGGACTAACTGCTCTAACAGATTCGAGTTTCTTCTCCCTCCAGGTGGACCTCGTAAACGTGATACCAGCGACAAGTCTGTCTTGTACTTATGTTTGTTCATCAAGGCAATGTCCTGTAAATTACGATGTAGTTGCGAACGGCTATCAGCAGAGAATCCCTGCATGATATCTGCAGCCGACAAGAACAGAAGCTCTACTGTAGAGACCGATATCAACGCTGCCTTGGCGCAAGATATTCCATGAATCTGCTGTTTTTCTTGTCGAGGCTGGCGCGGTGGAACCCAGGATGATGACGCACAAAAACATTCTCCACGTCGCAGTGCCAGCGCAACCGGTTGCGTTGGCGTTGTCCCCCTTCCAACCCCCATACAGTTGATAGCGATACTTGTTCGCCTGGTATTGGTTGATTTTGGTCGTGTAGTGGCAGCTCGCAGAAGCTCCCGCTGCTTGGACTTCACGTAATTTTGTGGAAGAAATCCATGATGCGCCTCATTAATACGTAAAAAGCTCAGAGGATCCCCTGCAGTCTCAAGTTGTGTGTAAAATAGTCGGAGCGCTTTGAGATTCAGATAGACGTCCACTAAGTGCGAATGATATGGACATATCAGGTGGTGTTCGTAATCCACAAGGCGAAAATTTGCAGAGTTCGCCCTCTCGAACCAGTATAAGCCCATTCACAGACTGGCCTTCACAGCACACGACTTTGGAGCCGATGACCTTGACAAATGTAGACTGATACAAGAATTTTTCGGTAAGAAAAAAATATTGATTAGACTAATAGCGGACGTACTCGGTTTGCAAGGTTGCGGATATCTACTACGGGGATATTATTGAACGCTGGGGCCATGGAGAGGAATCGAGCGGCGCGGTCTCGCTAGGAAAATAAAACGATATTTAAAAAAATATATTTACTATTGTAGGATTGAGATTACTTACCTCGACTTCGTGTTGTGCACGGTCAATTCGACTCCACTGATGCCACGATAAAGCCCCTATCACACACGTTGTTGTCGTAATTGCTGAATACGCTCTACAGTAATATTTGATTAGCAGTCAAATATTTTTAAGTTTCTTACCGTGGAGCGTTTGTAATCCTCCCTTGGTGACCAAAAATATCTCCGTGCTCAAGCTCACAGAGCTCTAATTGCGTTTGCTTCCAGTCCGAATTAACGGGTGTTTGATAAGTATTCCATGGAGGTTCCCACGTGACGTCGGACGCACCCATTTCAGCTTCATCCAGCTCTTCCTGCACTTTAAAGCGCTCTTCAGAGCTCTCTAGGTACTCTGCCGACAGCTGAAACATTCTACCAGCAGTCTTTGAGACAGATACTCTTCCTTGAAAAATAAAATACAATGACTTATCATGTGGAGCTTCAACACCATTCTGTTCCATAAAAATTGGTGTTCGGGCTGGAAGAGCTCCATCGGGACTTAGCACAAGATCACGACATAAAAGCTTGCAAACTTCCGGATTCAACGCCGCGCAAACTAAGAATCTCTTCTGCATAAAATCGACGAGGTATTGAAGGTCACTGTCGCTTCTTTCAGACGGTGGAAGTCGAGCAATCTCCAGACTGCGCTGAAGCGTCCAAGCTGTCAGTGCATCTTCAGTCTCCTCAGGTTCGCTTTGACACTCGTTTGTGTCTTGGTTTGTGTCAGGTTCGATCTCCAATATACGTGCTTTTTCATCGTTATGTACACTTTGTTGAGGGATTCTTTTCTTCGGAGATGTGGCACGCTTCACGGTGTTGTACAGGTGCTCAGCAGTGAACATCACACTCTCGTCTACCAAGGTAGTGGAGCCCCCTGAGTTCTTTTGAACAAGGTCGTAATCTTGTGCGGCCTTCTCGAAATCTCCATTCTTACGGTACGCTGCTGCTCGCTGTCGATAAAATGCACTTGGGGATTGGACCCTTTTTTGTCTTTGCTGACACTAATCGCACGTGAAAAATAGTCGACAGTTTATCGACACGCATACACAAATTGCCCATATTATAGTACGCAAAGGCATGTTGTCCACCGGAAAGTCTCTGAGCTTGCTTGTAAGCTGCTAACGCGGGTCTGATTTGACCTGTTCGTTCTAAACACACAGCGAGCTGGAATTTCGCCTCAATTTCGCTCGGTTTTGCAGTCGATAAACTCGTGTAAAACTTGATAGCTCGGTCATAATCTCCATTTGCTCGTGCCTGGAAAGCTCTCGAGCACAGACGTTCTGTAGCATTCATCGCGGCTGTGGAGACGACACGAGCTCGGGACAATAACTCCATAGTTCTCGTTTCTACTCCATCACGATTGGGCTTACCATCCCGACCAAGTTGCCCTCGAGACTCCACACTTCGACCAATAAGCGGGTTCACATACTGTTCCTGGTTTCGTTCGCGTCGAATGGCCTCTTGTATCGCTATAGTGTCACTTCTCGTCGTAAAATGTTCCTCATGTTCATGATGACGGATTTGAGTCTTCGAGGTTCGACTGGTAGCAGGTCGTTTGGGTAGTTTGATGCCCTCCGATGGAGCAGATACTCGAGCGGTAGAAGGCCTTGAAGGTCGTTGTTGATTGGTCTGCTGTGTGTTATTAATAGTCGAGGTCAGGAACGCCCATTGTGCGGTGGCTGGATAGGACAATTCCTGTCGAAGTCTGCGATGTGAACTAGCCGAAGACCCACGGGCAGATCTCACAGTTCCATCGGGAGATGTCCTCGTTGATGGGGTACATCCTATAGATTCCGATGCTAACGGAGGTCCTTGCATTTTCGCTTGCCACAGTACGTGCTCTTTTTTTCTTGATGAGCATTCACTATTTTTAAAAGGTCTTGACGTTTATAAATACCTGACAACACTGCACCGATCAACCAAATTGATGCTATGGCTTCTTCTATTCCAACAGTAGGCGACCAGAATGACGACTTGGAGAACGCAGTATTTCGCGAGAAGCAAGGGATAGGAAGCGATGTTCCTTCACCAACTTTTTCGCGTTTATTATGCTGTCTACGAAGTCGCTGTCTTCGTGGAATCTGTGTGGGTTTTCCGTGTGTGGTATTTTTACTACTATTTTTAAGTCTTCCCTCCAGTACGGCGACAAGTACCAGACGAGTTTTCTTGATCCTAGCTGCCGTCCCACTGATTATTTACATTGTCGTTGGCATATCCACTGTGGTACTCGCGTATTGCACTCAAGTTTCGCTCGAAACGCAAAATGCTCAGGCAGCTCATCAATACTTGAACACTAAAACTCAACAGAGTAAAATCGCTGTTACTACAGGGCAGAAACAACACAGCAACAACTCTCCCGGTCGTTTCGCACTTTTTCTTGAGCGGGCGATGCAAAGACGGCGCAATCGTGTTTGAGAAATGAACAAATCGTGGACGAAGTGGACCATCTTGGGCGAACAGCTCTTCACTGGGCAGCGCTGTCAGGATCAGACGAGGTATTATCTCTTCTCTTGCGGAATGGAGCATCGATTGATCAACAGGACTCACTGGACGGGCTTACGGCGCTACACTACGCAGCTTTTTATGGTCACATCAAGAGCACACGACTATTGGTCTGTGCTGGCGCCTCAATGACCATCATGGACAATCGACGAATGAATCCACTGCAACTCACCGAAATGGCGAGTCTCAAGCTAGCGAGTGTTCAACCTACGCATCAGATGATCATTAAATACCTGCGAATTGCCATGAAGGACGACGTCACATCACCACTCGAACATGTTGCGGGACTCACTGTTTTGCAACTTGTTCGCATAATCTCCCGCAGATGGAGTGACTAAGCGTAACTTTGAAATGATACTTCGAAGTAGTCAGCTTATAAAACCTAGTATCACTACGTACCTCGGTATTCGAATTTAAACAGACACGTACAGTTTTAATACTACTACTACTAGTAGTAGTAGTACAAGTTTAGCATTTAACATGAGTTAGTAGCTCAATTCAAAAAGCAAATATCATTGATATTTCCCCCACTTCAGTCCGTCACCCACTGCACACTCCACAGTCTTGCTATCTCGAAGACTCACGATGCTCGTCTGGCTGCGTAGTGTTTTGACTTCTATCTGGTCGATTGCGTCCTCGCTGTGACACAATGAGTGTCTTTGCGTCAACGCCCATGCTTCCAAATCGTTTTTATTCGTCTCTCATGGTTTTAGTCCTTCAATTGCTCGCTATTGACGCTTGGAACCTCTTGCTGACTCTTGTCGATATCGCTCAGAGACAACTTGTGAGCAAGACTAAACGTAACTTTAGTGTTTGTTCCGCCATTCGGCCGACTTCTTCAAGTACTTCTGGAAGTTCGAGCTATCGCGAGCGCTTTGGCCCAGTCCATCTAAGCCCAAGTATGTGTGTAATTGCTTGGGATTCATCTTGCCCCTCTTGTACTTGATCCAATTTGTAACACGACTAAGCCACCGCTCTTCGTCATGGTCCTTGTGCTCAACATTGCCACCACTCGAGCGACCTGTCCTAAGAGCTCGCATGGCAAGGTCTTTGTCCTGTACTCCTGCGAGCAATGCGGGCGAAATATCGGTTGTCGTCTGCGTCGTGTCGGCGTTAGCCTTCGTCGTCAATGCAAAGGCATGACTGTACAAGAGCGCAGCGGTCGTTGATATTAATGTTATGTACAGGACACGCATCGCACTTTAGATAGTTGTGCCTAGTGGTTGCGTCCGGCGAGGGAAAAGGTAAAGTGGGGAATCGCATCAAAGAGAGGTTAGACGACACGAAGTGCAGAGTATGGATGAAATATCCAGTTTATTTATACTCGCTTATAATAATGCAAAGCCAATTTGCAGGACCTGGGACCAAACATAAGTGGTATGATGACGAGCTCGTTTACTGTGTGATGACGAGCTCGTCATCACACAGCTTATGTTTGTTTCTGTAAGTAACCAATTGGTTAAATGTATGTTTATCTACTTGCGTCTAGTGGTTTACGCTCAGGCTGTGACGGGGTCACACAGCACCTTGCGCTAGAGGAAGTTATCTTCCGAGAGTATACAAACTCTCAGTGAACGGCAGTTCACAGGTCCCCTCTTTAATTAAAGAGGTAGATTGTAAACTGAGTATATTTATAGGTAGGTTAAGTTTGTGGTTAATACAAACTGA